TCTGTGAAGTGCATTAACTCACAACTGCTTTTCCATATTTCATGCTTATTGCAAGCATGTCTTTTTCTATGATGTTACAAATGTTTTGTGTAATGCCCTCCATGTTTCTGTTATCATATATTCACCTTCCAAATACAGCAAGGTAGTTTTGCTGCTTCACCATGCAGCATGGCTAATTTTGCAGTATTGAGGTGAGAAATTAAGTAGTTTATTGTGTGTTTATATTTCCAAACGCAACCTCATAAAGTGCATCCTGCATCCTTCTCACCGTTAAACAGTGTAAATAATCCCAGAGCAGAATTTTTCTGATTTAGCATTCCTACAATCTGGCATTACTTCTCCTGCCAATGCAAGTTAATCTCTGCTAAGAATGAACAGCTGTTGAACAGCACTAACATAGCAACACTGAAAGAAATTCCTTCTAAGTAGACACTATCAATTCATCAAATGGAGTTGATTTCAATAAAAAAAAAAAAACGTTACCCGAAAATCCCTACTTAAAATAAACAATACCTTAAAAAAAAAACATTTTGCAAGTGTCCTATACCATGAGCACCATTTCTAGTCAAGTCTGGATGTTTGTTATTGATGTTCATGAAACTGTCCTTGTCTGGCTCCTAGAGGGAACTTTCCTTTTCCAAGCTCCCTTCCAATCATTCTTGCATTAACAGAAATGTGACGTGTTGGTCTTGAAATGAGAAACAGTTTTCACTGACCACAAACAAAAAACTATGGCAAAAACAGAGGCTTGGACAGAAGTGGCTTCTCGGAACCTCTGTATTTTTACAGGCCATTTGGAGATAACTCTAAAGTTTAAGTTCTTTTCTTAACAAAAGCTGTTGTCCGTATCCCCACCCTTTTTACTCTGTGGTTGGAGCAGGGGAGAGGAGTTCCACAACCATGTTCCTCTACATTCACTCGAAAAGTTGCTGAACCACCACACAGTGTTTGATTAGTTTTTTTTTTTTTTTTTTTATTAAATACAGTATGCTATCTAACATCATTGCCTTTAAAACATGATACCCTTAGAAATTTAATTCTTTGAGACATTACAGAAGGCAAGCTGAAATATAGGTTCTGAAAAATAACAGATGCATATCCAATTAGCTTAATAAAGGCATGGGGCTGGGAAAACTAGAGGAAATTGCAGAGCAGTATTTTCTTCAAGCCAAAACCAACTAGTCTGGAGGAAACTTACTGATCTCAAAATGAAGACCCCCCATCCATACAGAGACAATAATGGGTTTGACCTCAAATTTTTTTTTGTGCTTTAGCTGTACTTCCAAATTAATCCAGCATTTTAAGAGCACAAATCATTATCATTATTTTTGTTGTTTAAAACTAGTCTCAGATAATGCCGGTTGTGCCGTTTACCTTTATAACCTGCATGCAACTGTTAGCCATCATTATACTGTGATTTTCTTGTAGGACCTGCCTGCGTGCGTCCAGTGTTGTAGTCATCAGTTTTTGGTACATAGTACGCTTGTGTGGACAGAACTTTTTTCTAAGTCATTCAGGAAAAGACACTGTCTTCGTCTTTAGGATTAGGCCTGAATTTTGGTGTTGAAATAATAAGACTGCATGTGTTGAAAAAGTGTGTTATTGTGTTGTAATGATGGAAAGAACGGAGTGTGGTATTACAGTAATTGACATAACACCACCTGTCAATTAGTCCAGTAGGTTTGTCAGCAATTGATCAAAGATCATACCTGGTTTTGAAATAAAACACCCTGTACTTTGCACTGTAAGCAGTTCTCTCTCCCTCTCAGAAATCATTGTCAGAAAATGTAAATTACAAGGGCACATAGAGAAAGAGAAGTTTTTAAAGAAGACATATAATAAATAGCTTAATGTTGTCGGTGGAGAATATGAAATTTACACAATACCTCAAGTGCTTAGATGATGGAAATAAGTTCCTTCCCCACAATTGAAAATATAGTCTTGAAAATGTAAAAGATGGACATGGTCTGCTGGCCATCTCATTAGCAGCTGAAATGAAACGTAATCAAAGGAAACTACTGGTTGTACACCATTACATTATTTCCTTTTGTGTAGCTTGAAAAAAAGCATATTTTATCAATTATGAAAACTTGGTAATAACCCTGCATGCAAGCCCATAGGCCTGCATCGGAAATAAATGTTAATTTTTAGCCTTATTATGTATTGTAGATATTTTAAAAAAACTGCCTTTGGTTCTTACCCTCTTGTTACACTTTATTTTATAACTTTAAACGGCTTCAGAAACTATACTCTTCTTTACATCCAACTATAATATATATACCTTATTTTTTTTCCTTTGTGTCTGTGGAAAGTGTTGGTTTTTAGCATTAATTTGTCAGTTACTAACTTATAAATAACATTAAGGTTATTTGATAAGGCAACAAAATACCTAGTTTCACATTGTGCTTTATCCTGTCACCTTTAAAAAGACCTCAAGTTTGTCTCAGCTTTGTTTACACTATGTTGCACTTCTGCACGGGCTGAATGATGTTAGAGTTGGCATCACACCAATTGTTGGTCCTATAACTGGTTGCAGCAGCCCTCCAGGTTTTATTACAAATCTGACTGATGCTGCACCTAAATTGAAAAAAGAATTTTAGACGGAACTTTCTATATATAGTGAGTGTACAGAGAAATATATATATTTTGTATGGATGGACTTTATGCCTCTGGGGAATGTTATAAAATGTAGCTTCATTTACTTGTTAGAATCCTTAATATTCAATTCAGTTTAATTCAATTCAGTTTATTTATATTATATTTCATTATATTTATTCATATTATAATTCACAGCACATGTCATCTCAAAGCACTTTACAGTTCACCAGATCATACAGTCAAATTGATTCAGAGTTTTCTATCAAGGAAAACCAGTGAATTGCATCGACTCATTAACTCGAAGGCAGTCCCTCGCACTAAGCATGCTTGTAGCGACAGTGGAGAGGAAAAACTCCCATTTAACCGGAAGAAAACCTTCAGCAGAACCAGATTCAGTGTGAGCAGCCATCCACCGAGCCTGACATGACTGCAGGAAATTTGTTAAAAACAGATGTAAGCTTTCAGGCTTGGAAGGAGTTTCTCTGTGGAACCTGGGTAGAAGAATTTATTTATTGATGGGGATGTAGATACACACATTGTTCATGCAATGTCCTAGTAGATTTATTATTGAACTGGTTCTGGCACCACTGGGCATCATTTGGATTTGACACTATTCCAAGAGCAGCTACTTGGGGAGAGGTGTCAGGGTGTTGTGTATTAGTTGCAATTAAAGAAAAATAGTCTATAATAGACAAAGTTTTCTCATTTGTAAATTTGATTTTCTTTCATAAATTCTCCTTAACTGGAAAGGCTTGCACAGAAAAGTTGTTTTTGGCTTGGATGAGTGTTTTAGAGTTTTAACATCAGGACTATATTATTAATTTGTAAAATTGGTTGTATTTTTCTCCTTAACTAACCAAATGGAAACATCTGTTTTCATGCAAATCTGAGCTACTTTTAAAACCAAACCTCAATTCCTAGTGAAGAGAGCTCTAAACTTTTACAGCATCAAATTGATCCAGTGTCTGATTTGAGAAAAGCTAATATTTTAGAATCCTTGCAAACTAAGAACTGGCAGAGAGGAGGAAGAGTTGGAAGTAATGTGACTTATTTGTTACTCCCCAGCCTTTGGAGAAGAGGCATCACGGGACATGCTTTTCGATTCTCCCCAACACACCGAGCCTGGTCCCTTGGCTTTAAAAACACAGGGAACTGACGTAAATGTGTTCCCTTCTGCGTTATCGCTTATCACCCTAGAGGCTAGATGCGTGATATAATGTCTGTTTAAATCCAGACAAAAAAATTAGAATAACATAGTGAAAAACAAGCTGTGTGTCATGTGACAGACTGATGCTTTGTTTGAAATTATTCTTATGTCTTATATTTTCTGTTGTTCAAAATCTCAAACACTGGGAACAGACACCCTTTTCATTGTGAAAATCATATGCCTTTAAGTAAATTTTACTTGGAGCAAATACAGCCAATTACTTTTTAATAACTGGCACCACACCCTTTATTATGGTTCAACAATAAACAGTATGTCTATTGTGGCTCTAAAGACTCTGTTATACTTAAGGGTATCTTAACAACAGCCAATTAGTTTTGTGCTGGCAGAGTTTTACTTATATGTCAAACTCAGTACAGAGCATATAAGTGGGGACCTCCTTCCATCTCTTTGCTTATTATATGTACAATATATACATCTGATAGAGACAGTTTTAGAGTAAAGTAAAAAAAAAAACCTAATAAAACAAAATTCTTCTTAATAGCATTGTGCTACCACCTGATACCTGTCATTCAGAAGCTTACAGGAAGCAAATTAGACTGCTGTGGATAAGAAATGTAAAGAAAGAAGGCAGGATGATTGAGCGGGGTCAAAGCACTCTCCTGCATTAGCTGAGGTCTGAAGCTCCTCAAACCACAGGCTCAGCTCTGCAGCCTCTTATGCTGCTAAGGCAGTCTAATCAAAATCAAATCAGCTCATTTTTTTTTACTCTCCGCCTATCTTTTGGTCCTCAGAGAATCAATTACTCCCAGAGTGTGGAGGAAACTTGGGGGTCCAGGGCTCCTAGAGCAGCAACAGTCCAATGCTTTAAAGGACTTTTATTGGATATCAGAGTTGGAGGAGATTCCAAAGAAAATAGGTCTTACTCATTATTAGAGCCAGCTGTGGCTTTCCACACTGATGACTCATCCATTTTTCTTTCCCCCGGTTCTGTTACTTTTTTCATGGTGTGGTAAGGATGGTGGTGGTGTGGAGGGGTGTCAGGGCTTCTCCCTTGAAATATAAGGCCAAGTTGATATTGAGCCTAAATCCACTGGTTGTTTGGCATTAGGGAGTGTACTGAGGCCAAAACTGTATTGCTCACAGTTATTATCCATGCACTAACTGTGCCACGTGGCTATCTTTCACGTTGATTTTGTTTTAACATCATAATTTTCTTTCTGCTTTTTCTTTCCAGTACCAATAATTAAAACTGAACCGACCGATGAGTATGATTCTATTGGGAGTGTTGGGCTGTCTATGCATTCAAAGCCCTACTATGGCCAGCCCAGGCTGACCTCCATCATGCCTGTTGCTGAACCTGACCCCTGCCTGGTTGGGGGATATCCTGCTTGCCCTCCTCACCATTCTGCAATGCCACCGCCATCTCCCAGCTCAAGTCCTACCCTGCATGATCTGTCCCCTGTTGCATTCAACAAATGCCTCCCTAACAGCCCAACTCATGCCACACCACCAGGCAATGTAGTACCCTCCATTCAGGAGACTCCTGGCTGCCCAAGCCTTCCACATTCTACGTCATCTGATCACAACTCTTCCCTAGGAATTCTTCAATCTCAAGGCAGCCCGGGTCCCCTTGCTTACCACCATTCCATCTATTCCAACAGTAGTTCTTCATCTTCCCCAGTTTCTGACCCTTCTACTCCTGGGGGGCCAGCAGAGACAGCATTCTTTCAAGTGTACAGCCCCAGCCAGGCAGAGGTATCAGGCAACTCAGCCCAGGCTGCAGGAAGTCCACCGAGCCTGCTACCTGAAGACACCAGTTCTCCACCAGTGGCCATCACCATCAAGCAAGAGCCACAGGAACTGGATCAGATGTATCTCGATGATGGTAAGTTACTACAAATTTACCCTTTCTGTATAGAAATGTCTGCATAGGCAGACATGGCAGCGATGGATTAAACACATGAGATATATCCATATTTCACCCATGACTCTATTGAGCCCCATCATCCTTCAACTACTTCCAGTCTCCTTGTTTGTCTTTTTACGAAGCAATAAGGTCCAGTTGCAGATTACATAACTTATCTGATGCAAAAAATGCTTCCATTGCTGTTTTGAATAATATAATAATTTCATATGATTTTAAAACCCTCACCTTATCGAAATGTGAAAACTTTTTTTTGTGGAACATGATAAAAAAAACAGAAAATTAAAAACAATCCACTGGACTTTGTTTCCAAGTTTGAAGACGTTTCAATTCTCATCCAGGAAGCTTTTTTAAATTCAAAATGTCAGGAGCGTTGAGTTCGAGGTAGAACATGAGTTTTTCTCTAAATTGCAGTGTTTTCATTTAACAAATTTATATTCGTAATAACAATTTTTGCTATTTGTTAATTAATGGAAACACACCTAGTATCAGTTAAATAGGTTTATCCCATAGACATCTGATCATATACACATAGTCACAGTCAGTGCAGACCCAGACAGACAGAGAACATCCTTGGGGGACAATATTTCACTATGGTGCTGCTTGGCATCCCACAGAATTAGCTTGATATCCCTCCTGGACCTGTAAACCTCTGATCCTATCTTCAATAGGTTATTCTTTTATAAAACACTATCTTAATAAACGTAATAATACTGCCAGAGATGGCTGCTTATCTGAAGGCCCTCACACATCACCACACCCTGCTGCATCTCGTGTTTCCTGATGAAACTCTGCTCCCCGATTTGCGTCACATTTGTATAATTTTAGCACTTACAGATTTATTTGCTTTTGGTGGAACGTTCGGCCTAGTTTATGTCGGTTCAAGCGGCTGCTTTGCTTCAAAATGCCAAACTGTCTTGATGAGATTTTGAAACAATCTGTCAAAACATCAGAACACCAAGGTCAGCTGGGGTGCAGCAGAACAAAAACAGTGGCACACGCATAACGAGCCAAACTGTTGACACGACGACTAATGAAGGAAGCAAAACAATAGGTAGGGGCTTCCTGAACTGAACCACCCCCCCTTACATTTCTGGGAGTGATGCAGAGAGGCAGAAGGCAGAGGCTTTGTTTTCCCGTCTTTTCCCCATGGAGTCTGCGGAATATGGCTGTCGTCATCAAGGGAGACTGTGGGGTCACTGCTCTCCCTTCGGCAATGAAACCAGTCACACCCCTGGGACCATATGGTTGGCTTTATTGCCACTGTGTCCATTTCACGTTACATCTCTCAGGTCAGCAACATGTTATCTGTGTTAACAGAGGCTGCGTGTGTTGTTATGATATATTCTAATATCATAACACTGACATCCTGACAGCCTGAAATAGTAAAATATCGTCTGTCTCCTTTTGGAGGTTGGCCAAAGACACCCCTTTAAACTCAGGAATACCACTCTTCCTGTACACCATAGCTTTTATTAGGAGAGCTGATCTTACCTGAATGTGTTTGTGTATGTAGTTGTTTAGCAGGCATGTCCACTTTCTCCGTTCTACACTCAACTGCTCTGGGACCTGAGGGGTGATAGGCATGAGGGGACCAGGGGAGTTTAGCTGTAGGACTATAATTGAGATGAAATTCAGCTCTCAGCATTTCTGTCAGCACTGATGAGTCCCGTTAGTCCTCAGTTCATCAACAAACTATACAGAGCCTGCTCTATTGTCTCATGTTAAACTTCTTCAACCCCCTGTGCCTCGTTTTAAATTCTAAGGACTATTCTTAGTGCTTAGTTATACTTAATAGTCAGTTATATCCTCTTTTTATTGAAATGCTGTGGTCTACATATGTTTAATTAAAGCAATATATGGGTTAAGTGGAATTACTGTGCTTAAATACGAATTTGAAAAACTGTATTTTACATTGCTGTGAAAGAGCCTATTCATCTTTGCAGTTATTTTATTCAGCCAAATTTGAAAAAGTTTAAACACGAGCTGTGTAAAATCATGCCTTAGCATTGTAATTACGATTAAAGCTTGATTTATTCATTAGGCCTCTACAAAACACATAGATTATTCTAATCATTCAAAAGAACATAGGGTGGTGTCCTTTCACTTACTTCTTTTATTATTTAACTATCATCTGAATTTTTTTACTAGAGACCTGAATTTTTGGCTTCATCAGTTTTAACTAATTGCAGTCCTGAAGTAACAACGTGACTGAAAATCACACTAGTACCACATGTGACTGTCAATATAATGTGTTTTGTTTTTGTTTTTTTTACGTAAGTGTTTAGTAATGTTTATCACTTTGGAACTTTATAATGCATGTGGTCATGAACCCTAATCTAAAGATAAGGAAAACATTAACTTCTCATCTTGTTTCGCGCATTCAATTCAAAGAAACACCTTCAGAGGAGAGGAACATTTGATAGCATTTCCAAGAATTACCATGGAAACCCGTACTTCAGTTATAAACACAGTAGGAAAAAAGGTCAACTATGTAGCATCAATAAAGGTTTCTGCTCTGAATTTGACACATTCAAGATAAAATTCTGACTTAAACTTTTCAATTGAGAAATTATTGTGCTTTATGAATATTCAAAAACTATGTAAAAGCAATATGATTTGAATTTAAACCTTAAGCCCTTTTATTTATTTATTTATTTATTTTATTCATTATGCTAAAGTTGAGCGTGTGTATCTGACCATAACTGTGTCAGATTAGGAAAAAAATGAACTTCTACCAAATTAATCATGCAGTGCTATTCCTTGTGAAGGTATGTCAAAATATATTTTGCCTCCCTACATTTTACTACATTGTCACGTAATCCTCCTCAAGCATGGTGGCCAAATACATTGTATTCAACTTGTGACTACAGTTGCATTAGAGATGCACCGGAATGCGCTTTGATCGAACAAGATCAGTGTGGCAGCTTCTTGAAAACCTCAATAAGCTGCCTTTTTGCATCACCTAATGTCTGAGCAAGCATCTGTGGTGAGTTGCTGGAGTCCCGGTAAGTGTGCGGTGGTAACAGCATACTGCAAGGCATCTGCTGCTTGCAGGCTTGGCCCTTTCCCAAACCCCTTAAATGAGCCCTAAGCTAAAATAAATAAGATCGGAAGGCAGCTTGCAGGGCGCCCCGCTCCCTGTTCACACGCATTAAGGCCCTATATTAGCGAGTCACTGCTCCATTAGAGAAGCAAGACAGGCAGATGACCTCATCACGGTAGCGGTGATTTAACGCCAGCCGTGTGGAATAGCTCTCCTCCTCAGCAATTGGGAGGCCAGTGATTTGAAGTCTGCGGGAGCAAACTTGATCTTCCCCAAGAGTAGCGCACCACCCACGCTTGAACACTGAGGCCTCCGGGTCTCATCAGCCAGAGGAAATGTGTCTCTCTGGCCAGGTCCAGATTTTACGCAGCCCCTGAGAAATCCCTCAAGTTATCAACAGTGAGCTACTGTACCGCAAGGAGCAGGGTTAGTGTGCAGGGAGGTGTAAAGCCCCCCAGACTGTCATACACTTTCTCTGTCATAAACTGTTAAAGTCTTCCCTGCACTATGATAGAAGCAACACAAAGCAGGAGGTGGTTATTCTAGTGCAGCACAGTGATGGGGGAGCTAGAGGAAGATTCCTACTGGCAGAAAGCTTAAATACTTTCACTCAGTAGCATCTTGGCTTTCACTCACCCAACTGTTACTTCTCCTAGCTGGATATATATCCACATATCAGCATGGTTCAGTAGATGGAGGATGAAACATCTGCTGCTAGAAGACTGCCTGTAGTATTATTGACTAAAAGTCTGAAACAACTCTTGGTCAAGCTTTTATAAAACCAACTTTTAGACATGGCTTATTTACTCACAGCCCTCTGTCTATGCTTTACAAGGCGCTCAACATGAAATAGTGGCAGACAAATGACATCAGTGTATATGAGTATGCACCATTAACATTTGAGTTGACCCAATAAAATCTAAAAAAAGAGAATTTAAAACAACTGCACATTTTCTCACGTGTAAAAGGGCTTCTCTTGTGACATCACCCAACATGTCTCAACTCTGCAAACCTGTTCTTACACATATAGTTACACTTTTGCAGAGTGTATAATTTGCAAACTACTGTAGTTTAACTTTCTTTTAAAATAGAAAACTGAATTAAGTTTTTCTTTTGAAAAAAATGCTTTTTGTTGGCAATAGGTGTTGGGCAGTAGACAAGTGTCTGTGGGGAAAACAAACAGAGGCTACCTATCCTAGCTAATTGGGGCTTGTGCTCTTTGTCCTGTCTCATTAGCTCTTTTGGTGATGTCATGAATTGCTGCTAAATGCAGCAGACAGCAAAGCAACTTGAGCTAATCAGCAACCTAGATTTTTACCAGCTGCCTCCCTTGAAAACAGAGGGCCCTTATTCCCCAAAATAAGAAAATCTCAAAGCACAATATAGCCTCTATCGACTTTTTG